AGGGCCAGTTCCTGCTCTTCTTGGCCCTCTAACTGAATGTCACGGCAGGGCTCTACAAGTAGACTTTCCAAACCCACAAAACCCACAGAAATAAGCCAGGGTGGCAAATTTTGCCTCCCTTAGCAGCAGCATTCCTTGTTCGGTAGATACCATAATTACTTTCGTAAAGTAGGACTTGCTGTGAGCCAAATCCATAGACCACCACCAAAGACACTGGTCTCACTTCAGTCAGCATAAACTGCTATCCATCTGTCCATCCGCTCCACTTTCATTCTTCATAAAACTGGGCATGGTGTGTTCAGCTTTTCATTCTCAGTTACTTGGTACATGTCTGTATTTTTTGACAGCAGAATAACTCCTTGCAGTTTTACTAGGTATACCTTTGATTTCTTGAGAGCATTGCCTTCTGCCTGCTCTTTTATACTCAAGGTTGCTTATCTTGCTTATTTTGGCCTTGTTAATTTTTTAAAAGTGCAGGGGTTTTTTTAATGTGTTGATAGCTTTTTAATTGTGTTTTGCTTTTAAACAGTTTAGGTTTATTCCTCTACTGCTTGTTTGCCTTCAAAGTTCATGCCCATCCCTGAAGAGTTAGCATTTATGTCTTTCTTCACTTTGTTTTTAGTGTCAGTTTTTAAACTTTAACTCCTTTTATCATTTCATTTGATGATGTGCTTTGATTTTAGTTTGGTTTTTGGTTTTTCAAAACAGGATTTCTCTGTGTAGCCCTGGCTGTCCTGGAACTCACTCTGTAGACCAGGCTGACCTTGAACTCAGAGATCTGTCTGCCTGTGCCTCCCAAGTGCTGGGATTAAAAATGTGTGCCATCATCACCCTGCCATGAGGGTGCTGCTTTTTAAATCTTTTTCTATTCACCAAAGTGCTTCATTTTCAATGTAGAAAATTTGAGAAATAGCAGGCACAGAGATCCCAGACTGCAGAGGCAGGAGGATGTCTGTGAGTTGGGGGGCAGCCTGGTCTACATAGCAAGCTGCAGGCCAGCCAGGACTATTGAGAGACCCTGTGTGAAAAAGAAATGTTTGGGAAATACATAAAAATCCCATAACCTCACTGTATGTGGCACCAATGGTATTTTCCTATATTTATTTGTAATGCTTTGTAATTTTACATATTTTAGTCCAAATTCTAACATGTATTTGTACACACATAATATTCAACGTCCTTATTTTACATTGTTTTTTTCAATATCTTACTATCATTAGTCTTCAAATGTGTCATTTGTTGGCTTTATAATATTTCATTTTAAAAACTATGTGATGATTAACAAATTCCCAATGATTAGGCCCATTTTGCTATAAGTGACTACAATAAAATAATGAGTAAGTTTTTGTCTCTATATCTGTGTGTCAGATGCTAAACATGGAAGTTGTTGGACTTCCATAAGATTTGAACATATTATTTTAGTTTTTTAGCAAATACTACTCTCCTCTCTAGAACCTATTATCATTCATTCTAAATCCATGGCAAGAGTCTAGGGGTTCTTTTCCTTACCTCACTGGCCAAATCCAATGCCTTTTCAGTCAGACCTCTGCTAATGTGGGGGGGGTTTCATTTTAACTTGCATGTGCTTAATCACAAATTGCATTCCAATCTCCACTCCATCTGGAATTTTCTTTGGTGTTTGAAGTCAGAAGAGGCTTTGGTTTAAGTTTCCCTCAAGAGCTGATGCCATTTGGAAAGATCCCTCTCTTCCCCATGCTGTGAGGACCACTTGTGTGTGCACTGAGTTCCTGCAGATGCTTAAGGACCAGTCAGCCCCTCCAAGGATCACTGGGTTATTGTTTCAGTTTTGAGAACTGGCCTTGAACTCACTCTGTAGTTGGAGGATAATGTTGGTCCTCCTGCCTGTACCTCCCAAGTCCTGGGATTACAGGCATGGGACACTACACCAGGTTTCACGTGATGCTTAGGAATCCAATCCAAGGCTTCAAGCATGCTAGGCAAGCACTCTACCAACTAAGCTATATCCCAGCCCTACTATTTTATTAATGTGGTTTTACACATTTCATAGCCAATCATCACTCTTTTATTCCCATCTAACCCACAGGCCTTGACTGTAGACTCATTTTGTCAACTTTACACACACACACACACACACACACACACACACACACACACACACACACACGGAGTCATTCTGGGAATTTTGACTGAGATTTATGAAACCTGTGATCACTAAGACCCTTATGTCATTATATCCTGTAAGTGATATGTGGTGTGTGTCCCCATCATCTGAATCTCCTTTTCTATCTGTCAATAAAGTCTGGGCATTTTTGTCTCAAAGCTTCCACGAATTTCTTGGAGCATCCCCCCTAAGTATTGCATGAGTTTTCTTGCTAATGTACTCTTTCTCCAACATTCCATCCAACTCTTGCTTGGGCTTACTCATGAATGGTATTATTAGTATGCTTGTGAGAATAGCCTGTTAAGTTCATAAGTGAGTGAATTAAGTTTTACCAATTGTGTTTCAGCATAGGCTGCTCTTACCAAGTCCTCAGGGGACTTAATAGTGTAAGTGATAAGAGAAAACCCCACACAAAACTGTCCTCAAATTCATATGAATCCCAATTTCTAATTTAGTCTGATCTGAAAGTTTGCATGCATATCCATACAACATGCTTATTTATAATTTTCCAGTTTGTGTTACTGTGAAAGCTTAAGATCAGGATTGCACCACTCTATGAACTTGGGTTTATTCCATTATTTTCTTCAGCAGAGAAACGAGTTTTTCTCTAAAAACTTAAAATAACTCACCAGAAATTTATCTGGCCCTGGTATATATTTTAGACTTAATCCTTTAACTATTTTTAGTTTTCTTTCTTGTATATTAGTTTGCTAGAGAGTTTATCAACTCAGAACAATTTCAAAGTCTCCAACAAAGCACCCATTTCATCAACACATTCCATCCTTCCTTAGCAACTGTTCTTTTATAGACTAAAATGTACACCCAATCTGTGGTTATTATCACTCCCTTTTCCTGAATTTCTCGTCTTTTTTTTTTTCTCTGTTAGTTTTATTCCCAAAAGGTCAACCAGAAAACCAGCTCTTAGATTTGTCAGTTACACTATCACTATGGTAAAATATACTGACCAAAAGCAACTTGGGGAAGAAAGGGTTCGTTTTAATTTACAGGTCTGAGAGATGGAGTTCATGGAGGCGGATGAAGAAGGCAAATGGTGCTGGCCCAAAGTCAGGAAGCACGGAGAGAGAGCAGGAAATAGGCCAGGCTATAAAAGCCTCAAAACCACTCCCAGTGACTTACTTCCTCCAGCAAGGCTCCAACAGCGCCACCCCTGGCCGCCAAGCCTTCGAACACACGAGCCTCTGGGGGTCATTTTTCATTCAAACTGCAGCACCTGGGTTTTCTCTGTATTCTAAACTGGGGTGTTCTGCAGTCATATTCTCCTTCCCTCTCTCTGAGGTATAGTCCTATTGCTTGTTTTCTTGATACTTCATCTGTTTTGTTCCTCTCGTTTTTTTTTTATTCTTCGAGAATTTCACACACGTATACAATGAAATATGATCACATACAAGCCCCATTCCCACCCCTCCTACGCCTTCCCATATCCTCTCCAGTACTTCCTCCTCCTAACTCCATATTTTCTGTGTTTTCTTTTCTATGCTGTTTTGTTTGTTTGTTTCTATAACCCAGTAAGTCTAACCAGTGCTGCCCGTACCGCATCGGTGCAGGCCCATCCACTGGAACTTCGAAATCTACCTGTGGCTACAGACCCCTCCCCGACCCCCAGCAGCTTGCTTCTCAGTAAGCGGTACAAGGCTTGGAGATCATCAACCCCATCTACGGAGGAATTTTGGCTAACTTGATGTTGTTCGGGTCACCCCAAGGGCTGTGAGATCATCATTGCAGTAGCCAGGGCATACCCAGTAAGCAACGCCTGCCCACCCTAGACTCTTACATTATTTCCACCTTTTCTGTGACAGCTCCCTAAGCCCTGACAAGGGATAGGGGGCGGGAGTTGGTAGTATTTTTATTCTCTGTTTGCAATATTTAAATTATTTACATATATCATTTTCTCTCTGGCTACTCCTTTTTAAAATGCATAGTCTCCTTTTATTGTTTTTTATATAAACAACAAAGACATTGGTGATTTTTAGCATCTTACTTCTTAAGTGATTGGATGTTTTGTTTAAGTTTTATTAATAGTTTTGATGTTTCTGGCTCTGAAGTTCAAGGACACAGATTGCATCGTTCCTATAATAAATGTACAATCTCTTAATAAATTCTTGATCTATCTTTTAATCATCTCTGACATAGATTGATTAAGACTGCAAAAGACAAAAAATACCATTAACTTCTTACACTGTGAACAACAGTTGATTAATACATGCTTTCACGGGTTGCAGAATGTATGAGAGGAGTATAACCGTCAAGCACCAGGCCTGGGAACAGACCCTGAGTTTGTCCCTAATTGCTTATGAAAGTCTCTCAGCCTCAGTCTCCCTGCCTCCGAAATGGGTCTAATTCCTTTGAGATAAGACCTGGCACAGGTGTCTATATAACACTACAACATTTGGTAATTTCACAGTTTCTTCTGTAAGATATTCAACCTGACAATAAAAAATGTCTTCCTATTTTCCACTTGGTGCTTTTGCCTTAAAAAAAAAAACAAACAAAAAAACAAAACAAAACAAAAAACCTACCTTTTTCCTTCCCTGACACAGAGGAGTCCTTTGTAGAGTATCCCTGGCTGAATTCAGAATCATAATCTTGCAATCCTCCTGCCTCAGTTTCCCAATTCCTAGCAGTCCAGGTGTATGCCACCACATCAGCTAAAAGTTCTCAGACAGTTTTGTTTCTTTTGTTTTTCACTGTTGCTATTTTATTTTGTCCCAGGGAAGCAGGGGCTTGAAACCCGGGTGTGTACAGTTCCGAAAACACTCCACTAGAGTGATAGCCCAGTCCTTATTTCTATTTTGCTGCCATTTATGCTATTTTATCTTCCATTTATTCACTTACTTACCATGTGTAAGTGTTTCTCTGTGTGTGTTGGTGCAGAAGACAACTTGCTGGAGGTGGATTTCAGTTTCCATCAAGTGAGACCCAGGTATTGAACTCCTGTCTTCAGTCTTGGCAGAGATCATCCTTTACCCACTGAGCCACCTTGCCAGCCTCTGAAATTCATTTATGATGTATTTATTTTTAATATAATTCATTAATTAAGAATATAATTAAACAGCCTTTGTAAGAGTTTAGATCCTTACATTTAACAACCTAGCACCTACATTGTCTTGTGGCTGCTGGACCTAATAAGGATTCAGCTCTGAGGCTTTGGCGCCATGTAGTGTGTGAGCTCTGACTTGCCCTCATGGACTATCAGAGCTTGCCCATAGACCAAGGCTGCAGACTTCATGCTAGTTTCCAGAATTCTGTCAGTGGCTGCCTTTGAGGTTTTGAAGTTGTTTTGTTGGAGTGAAAAGCATGCCTCACGATGTCACTCATTTTAAGGTGAACAGTTTGACTCCTGTAGTACTTTCATAGCATATGGTCTCCACTACTGCCCCTTTAAATCTGATAAAGAACCATTGTGAGTTTATCATCTACATATCAAGGTGTGTGCTTCTCAGAGTCCTGGGTTGGGTGGGCTCATCTGGCTCTTTTCTCTATGGTACTTTTCTAGGAAAGCTGAAAATTACCAATGACGTAGCTCACTAGTAAAGTACTTTCCTGGCATGCCCTGGGTATACGTCCCAGCACTACCAAAGGTTAAAAATAATATTTAAAAAAATCAGAGGAGGGCTGGAGAGATGGCTCAGAGGTTAAGAGCCCTGGCTGCTCTTCCAGATATCCTGAGTTCAATTCCCAGCAACTACATGGTGGTTCACAAACCATTTGTAATGAGATCTGGTGCCCTCTTCTAGCATGCAGGGATGCATGTAGACAGAACACTATATACATAACAAATAAATAAACCTTTAAAAAAATCAGAGAAATTACTAGTGAATAGGATTAAATTTCTTTAAACTCTTTCTAAAATTATGTTTATTATTAGTATTCTATTTAATCATTTATTTGCCTTTGTTTTTTAGCCAGAATTTTTTAAAATTTATTTTTATTTTATGATCATTAGTGTTTTGCCTGCATGTATGTCTGTCTCTGTGAGGGTGTCAGAAGCCCTGGAACTGGAATTATAGACAGGTGTAAGCTGCCATATGAGTTCTGGGAATTGAACCTGGCTCCCCTGGGAGAATAACCAGTGCTCTTAACTGCTGAGTCTTCTTCTCTCCAGCACCTTTGAGTGAGAATCATATGTGGCCTTAGTTGGTCTGGAATTCATGCTTTAAGCCAGACTGGTCTTGAATTCACTATCCCTCTGCCTAACCCCCAGTACTTGGATCACAATGTGTGTTGTCATATCTGTATAACACACAATTTTGAGACTTGGAAACTGTATTTGATTATTTTTGCAGGAAACCAAGGCATGAATTACATTCCCACATTCATGTATCAGGGCCCTCATCCCCGGATGCCCTATATCTCTTGGAGACAGAGCCTTTAAAGAGGCAGCTGAGTTTAAATGGAGTCACTAATCCAACATGACTGGTATTTTTACAAGAAGAAATCAGGACCCAGACACACACAGAGGAATGATGCAGGGAGAAGATGACAGCCATCTATAGAACGAAGCCTCAGAAGAGATCAACCTCACTGACATGACTTCAACCTCAGCCTGCAGAACAATGAGACTATTCCTGTTGTTTAACACACTCCATCAGTTGTGGTGATATATTGTTTATGACCTAATAAAGCCTGCCTGGAGAACAGAATGCAAAGTTAGCCAGGGCCATAAAGGCCAGGCAGTGGTGGCACACACCTTTAATCCCAGGACCCAAGAGACAGAGGCAGATGGATCTTTGTGAGTTCAAGGCCACCCTTGGGCTACATGAGAGTGAATCAGTCTAAAAGAGAAACAGAGCTTACACATTTAGTCCCAGCACTAGAGAGGTATATAAGATAGGACCAGGGTCTCAGAGAAGGCATTCAGCTTTGGATAATTAGTCTCCAGCCTCAATGAGGATAGGATCTCCCCAGTCTTGGTAGAGGTTAAACACTCTTGGCTTGGCTGTTTTGCTTTTCTGATCTTCAACTTGTACCCCAATATCTGCCACTGGGTTTTTATTATCTATACTACAATCAGTGATGCCAACAAACATATACACCAACCACCTATCTACCTCATGGCCACCAGTACCACAGCTGTGTGCCCCAGCGGATGCACATACACACTCACACCACTCGTCATCCAGTGGACATCTACTTATCAGATATTTGGACCACCTCCCTCCATTTGTATTCCCCTCTCATTGCACTTTAGCTTCTGAGCCATTTGAAAGATGCATATCTGTTTCCATGGCAATCATTGACTGCATATCCCCATACCAAGATCATAGTTTGGAATACATTAGGTGCACCAACAATCTACTAAAATGAATAAAGTGCTTGATAAATCAGAGATCCTAACTTTGCTCCTGAATTGTTTTCCTTATAGCACTGTGCCTCAATTTTTTTTTTTAACACAACTGATTCTATTTCCACCTCATAGTTCTTGCTTCTCTTTAGCTGTTCTCTTTGCTCCTTGGCCTATATTTTGCAATGTCTGGTTAATGTCGATTACTACAGCAATGCCCACAAAAGCCTTTCTTGCAAGCAGCACACAAGCACAGTTGGAGAATGGCTGGCTGTGTTTTGTTAATATCCCTGACAAAACCCACATATCATGAAAATAAGTACCCTTCATTGGAACCCCATGCCCTAAGCAGCTGTCCAACCATCATGATTTGTTTCAAATAAATGAATCCAGCCAGGAAGGATTAATAGGTAGTTTAACACCTACACAAGCTTAAATATTTCACAAACACATATCCCACACAGCCCTCACTCTCAGACCCTGGAGATAATTAAAAGCACACAAAAGCACTGGGCTGCATTTGCTACAGGTAATTTGCAGGGGGAAAAATAATTACTCTGACAATTAGACCCAGAGCAGCGTGCCCCTTGTCAAAGGCCAAGACGCCCGTGGATGCTGCTTCTGCATCACCTTTTGAGAGCTTAATTAATTTGCTCACTGATAAGTCTCAAAACAGCTCCGGGGACCCACCCATTAATAAAATGATGGATGAGATTGTGTGTGTGTGTGTGCGTGCGTGTGTGTGTGTGTGTGTGTGTAATTTTTTTAAAATTGTAGGTGCTTCACACCTAGACTCATTTGCATATTAGAAACTCTTTATATTCCCTCTTCTGCAGCCTCCAAAAGCTAGTCTCACTATAATGGTATTTCTATAAATCCAACTCACTATATTAGGGTCAAAGCCATGTATGCCATCCTTCAGTTGGGCCAACGTTTTTATCCAGACCATTTTCTACCCTTCCATGCTTTTTCAATCCACACCAAACAAGCACTTTCCAATACAGGAATACAATCTCTCTGACAACAGTAGGTAGGGTCTGCAACCCACGTGGGACCTGCCTTCCCCTTCTCGATTCCAATTGCATGTGCCTCCGCCCCCATCACCGGCCCCTGTCAAACCAACATTTCTCGCAGCTGTCAGGAAGGCATATATAACACTTCACTCTAGCAAGGGTCCTTTAACCCTACCCTTCACAGCTCCCTAGAGCTATGTGTCAGGGCAGCAGGTCCAAAGTTTCCATCGGTGACTTCCAAAGACAAAATAACACCTAGCTACCAAACCTGCAGCCTCCGCCCCCCCTCCCGCCCCCAGCACACGAGCACACGTGGTGTCTAAACAAGCTGGGCTTATTCTGTGAAGTTATTCTGCTCTTAATATTCCTCCTTCCCCTGCCTTAACTACCATTCCAAAACTTACATTGAAATGGTATTAGATACAGAGTGCAGGGGACTTGAAAGCAGAGATTCGTGTTTACAGAGCACCAGTGAGGTGCCCAGCAGACCCTGACGCTCCTACTTAAATTTTACAGTTCTGTGAAAGGGACTGGTTACCCCTTGTTGACACATTAACAACTAGATCTACCGAGACTTGCGGAACGCCATTGTCATACTGCAGAAAGTGGAGTATGTGGCCAAAGATTGCAAAGCCAAGACTCTGTTCACACACACACCCCTCGCCGCCCCCAGCACTCTTCCCTCTCTCTTCACTCCTCCTGGAACCACAGGAGAGCAGGTCCCTGCAAGCAGAGCTGCGTTTGGGCAGCCCCAGTGTTCTGACCAAGGCGCCTGCAAGAACAAAAGCTACAAAAGCGAGCTGGTGGCCTTTGTAATTACCTTTTCTGATAAAACACACTCTCTTTTCCTCACTAGTGTTTTCTTGAAACTGATTGATACACTGGGGAGTGGGGGTGGGGGCGGGGGAGACACCATGAGAAAGCCCCTTCTCTAAAACTTGAGAGCATCCAGTGAGATCCTCTGCCAATATGCCAACCCCCTTACCCGCCACTCCAAAGCTCTCCATGGTGAATGGCTGAATGGCAGCATGGGGCAGGAAGCAAGCCTGCCAAATACTGTTCTCAGCTGAACACTCCACAGGCAGGCTCCGGCTTCCCATGTCAATACGGAGGCCTCTGTGCTTTCTGAAGCCCTAGCCTTGATGAATATGTGAGAAAAACAAACATTTGTCCCAGGCTTTGGGAAAGAAGAAGGGAGCCCCCCCCCCCAAGGCAGGCCTGAGAAACCCCAAGGGTCTAATTGAAAGGGTTTTAAATAGTAAATATGAAATCTAAACCCAGATGGTTCTTTTGCAAAGGAAACAAACCATTCATTAAGCCGATTCTTTCCTATAGGTTCACCTTAAATACAAGAAGCAAAACCTCCCTCCCCCATGGCTATCTCGCTGCCAAATCTCATTTTGATCATATGGCTGAGCAGAAAAAGAACAAAGCAGGGAGGTCAGAGGGGGATAGATTTCTTCCTGACTTGCTATTTGGGGGGGAACTTCATAGGAGAGACTCACTAGGTCCTTCTGGAATCCGAGTGTCTTCTCCAATCTTCTCTGAGAAGGAAGCCAACAAGAAATGGGGCCTAGTGGGGAGAGTAACTAAAAAAAAATCTGCCCTAGCGGGGTTAGTGTTCCAATAGGAAGCCAGAGCAAGACCAGGAAAGGTCAGCTAAGAAGACAGACCTGTAGTTTGGAGGTTCCCA